GGAGGAGCTTTAAGCTCCCTTCCCACCCAAACCAGGCTGGGATTCTATGAAAAGCACCCATGGGAATGCTTTCTGAAGTAAAGTAATGAAAATAATCAGGAGTCAATGTTTTATACTTGTCCAAAATGGAAAAAAAAGTTGCTTGTTTTTCTCCATCTTTGTGCTGTAGATATCATCACCATGTGGGAGATGGGACAAAGCTGAATGGACTCACACCTGTTTACCATAATGAAAGCAAAGAGCACATTCTACACTTGCTCTTCCACTGATATAAGTCCAGGTGTAACCCAGCCAGTAAACGGGGTGTCTTTGGAGTCCAGCTTGCTAACACCCTGTGTACACAGGTGGCCTTGGTGATGCCAAGGCTGGAAGCTCTTTGCTCTGGCCGTTGGATGGTAAGCAGGTACCTGTCTATGCCAGCCTGCTTTGCCCTTTTCTCCATGGAGCTCTCACACCACTCTTAGATTATTCTCTGTGTTTTTTGCTTGTGTTGCTCGGGAGTTAATTTGTTGATTACAAAAGTCAGAAGAAGATTAAACAAACTGCTAATGCTTTTATGTAACTTAATGAGAAGAAAATGTTTCTGAGGCATTAAAACCACTACAGAAGTTTAAAGGGGGGGGTGTAGAAAAAAGGAAATACAAGTCCATAACAGAGTCAGGAATTTGTTCCACTGATTAATTGAAACCAGGAGCGCGTCCCTTCTGTTCCAGTGTCCCCAGAATGTCCTCCTGCATTGTTCCAGATCGCTTTCATTTCGCCTCCCAGAGCATTCCCTCCTCTCTGCTTCCCGCTGGATTGATTTAGGTGATTCCCGAGTGCCCAGCCTGCCGGCAGCTCGCCTTGGGGGTCAGGTTGTGGGGTCAGACACGTGGCTTGGCCTTCCCCGAGGCTGACAGAGGGCTCGTGTTAACCGGTTGAGGATGGGACACAGCGAGCACATGCGCAAAGAGCTCCTCAGTGTTTGCTAGCGTTAATTTAGATGTGTGCAGTGCATCTAAGCTCCTGTGACGTGTTTTCAGCATTTATGTCATAGAATCCCAGGCTGGTTTGGGGTGGAAAAGACTTTCAAGCTCCTCCAGTTCCAACTGCTGGAACAGGGACCCCTTCCACCAGAGCAGCTTGCTCCAAGCCCCTGTGTCCAACCTGGCCTTGAACACTGCCAGGGATGGGGCAGCCACAGCTTCTCTGGGCACCCTGTGCCAGCGCCTCAGCACCCTCCCAGGGAAGAGCTTCTGCCTAAGAGCTCATCTCAGTCTCCCCTCAGGCAGGTTCAAGCCATTCCCCTTGGCCTGTCCCTACATCCCTTGTCCCAAGCCCCTCTCCAGCTTTCCTGCAGCCCCTTCAGGCACTGGAGCTGCTCTCAGGTCTCCCCTTCAGGAGCCTTCTCTTGTCCAGGCTGCCCCAGCCCAGCTCTCTCAGCCTGGCTCCAGAGCAGAGCTGCTCCAGCCCCCGCAGCATCTCCGTGGCCTCCTCTGGACTTGTTGCAACACTATGTGGATATGGTGTATGGATGCAGTAGATGGTATCTGGTATAGGACCTGCCAGTCTGAGAACAGCCACGTGGAACACCTAAAGAGTGGTTGACCTCTGCTTTTCCCCCAGTTTTTGCTCTTATGGGTGTTTAAGTGATGGAGAATGCATTGGAGTATCCAGCGCAACGTGGCTGAGTACAGCACAGTGAGGCTTTGCAGTGTGGGGAGAGGATGAAGGTGTGAATGGTTCTCCATCATGATGTTCTTCTGCATGGGCTGCTGCTTGGGAAATGGAAAAGGCACCAGAGCATCCAGCTGTGCCACACATCCACATCTGCAGCATCCCCTTAGTTAATGCTTTGGCTGCTTGACATGGACCAGGTTTGGGTGCCCCTATTTTGGGGACTGCACTTTGCAACGACACAAGGCGCAGATGGGGACTCCTGATGCATTCGCCTGCTTTGGCTTTCCTGGAAAGATTTTTCCAGTTGACCTTTTGGAATCAAACCCAGAGTGGATTTTTAATGCCTGCAGAGGCTGTGGAACCGAACGATGCAATCCAAGAACTTTTCCAAGGCATCCTCAATGGTTTTGTTTAGCGAGTGTGCTTCAGAAATGTAAACCAGACCGGTGTGGCACTGAGCGAAGTTTTCAGGCCCGGAGTTACAGCCTACAGAGCTATAAGATAAGTACATGCAGGACACACCACTCCTCCTCAGCCTGTTTCAATCAGAAGGCTTTTTGTGGGGGAGGCTATTACTAAAGCTATCTGACAAGCAATGTTTTATAGCAAAGGCAGAAGAGAAGCTGCCTCAAGGATCATTTTCTATAGCATTGTCCCAGTGCTTTGTTATTTACAGCCAAGAGCCTGAATAGGCCAAACCGCTTCTAATTGTGATTTTTGTTTTCCTTCCTTTATGTGTTCATTGTGTGCTGTTGTGACTATTAATGGCCATTAATCTATGTCTAAGATTCATTTCTTTCTAGAAATGCTTTTGCATCATCTTGTAGTGTCTGATCAAGTCACTTCAGGACAGGTATGGAAGATGCAGATTGGGCTGTAATCAGTGTTTGAAATAGGAGAGATGTTACTAAGAGCAGCGTGTATGTGCAGAAGAAATGAGGTGGAGGGGAGCAGCTGAAGAGACCTGGAGACCCGGAGCAAGGCAGTGGGAATCCTGAAGGTTTGGTAGGGAAGAAGTGGGAAGTGTGATGTCCCAGATGTGGTAATGTGAAGGATGTAATGAAGGTGCTCAGTTGAGTGCATCAGGTGAGAACCAGAGCTGGGCTTGAGAAAGCTGGCTGTAACTAGGTAGGTAACAGCACATTTACATCAAGGGTATGGCATCACAGGGATGGTCTGCAGCTTGGGCAGCTGAAGCAGCAGCTCAGGAAGTTGGATGCCTACCAGAGCCAGGGAACTGAAGGTGATGATGGTGGACTTTGGGACTTGGGTTTTGATGTGGTTGCAGGGGCGAGATTTGTTCTTGCAATCAGAGTCCTGCACGCTTATTGTAATCCACTTATGATGGTGTTCAATACAGGGTAAGAACTTGACATCCCCTTACTTTGGAGTTGCCATCCTTCAGCTTTGGAGTGTACTGCAGTTTGGTTTAGGATGGGCTGGGCTATTGCCCACTTGCATGTGTTTTATAGGGAGGGCAGAAGTGAAGGATGCTCATTTATCTGTGGAGGGAGGGTTGTGGACAAACAGGAGAGCTCAAAGGGGAAGGTGAGGGTGCTGAGGCGCTGGCACAGGGTGCCCAGAGAAGCTGTGGCTGCCCCATCCCTGGCAGTGTTCAAGGGCAGGTTGGACACAGGGGCTTGGAGCAAGGTGCTCTAGTGGAAGGGCAGGGGCTTGGAACTGGAGGAGCTCTAAGGTCACTTCCATCCTGACCCAGGCTGGGATTCTATGGTACAGAGTTTGTTCAAATCCAAGCTTAGAGCTGACCCCTGAGATGCTGGGGTTTCATCGCTTCCTGTCACCTGCTCTTTTTGCTTTACCCTCCAGTTTGGCTAAATAAAAATGCAATAGAAGGTTTTCAGTCACCAGACCTTTATGTCTCACTGTGGCCACCTCCAGAGGAAACTTTGCCCGGAGTTGTGACTAATTGTGTGTTTCATTTTCGCCCTCGATAGATGCTTCTGTAAACGCAAAGAGCACTAGATGGCACTCTGCCTCCAGCATCCCTGTTCCGCCAACAGAACTCCGCTAAGCTGTAAGGAGCAACCACGAGTATCCATGTGATTTCAGGAGGTTCTATCCCTTTCACCTTTAGCACCAACCGGCTTCTGTCTTGGAATAAAGAAGGGAATAGGGTCAACTTTGCAGGCTTCTAATCTTGGTGACTGTTATTTTACACTGAGTTTTAAGCAGGTTCATAAAGTTTGGGCATTTTTGTTTTGCTGTTGAGAGAGCTTACTGAAACTGTGCAACTGAAATTGTGAGGGCAGGTATTAAAGGGTGATATTTAAGTGTTTTTTTTTCCCCAGCTTTTAGCCCTGTCAGGGTATTTTTATTACTAAGAGACCTTTGTGAGTTGCAGAGGTGGGACCCTCCAAAGTGACTTGTGAGCACAGATCGCTCCAAAGGATCACATCACTTTCTTCAGTCAGAAGGATTTAATGTATCATAGAATCTTAGTGGTTTGGGTTGGACACTGCCAGGGATGGGGCAGCCACAGCTTCTCTGGGCACCCTGTGCCAGCGCCTCAGCACCCTCCCAGGGAAGAGCTTCTGCCTAAGAGCTCATCTCAGTCTCCCCTCGGGCAGGTTCAAGCCATTCCCCTTGGCCTGTCCCTCCAGGCCCTTGTCCCAAGCCCCTCTCCAGCTTTCCTGCAGCCCCTGGAGCTGCTCTAAGGTCTCCACTTCAGAAGCCTTCTCTTCTCCAGCAGCTGGGTGCTGTTTCAGCTGCAGGATTTGCTGCCTTGCACATCTCATTCAAGAGCAGTGTTGACCTTTCCTCTGCCCTTATGTGTTTTGGGCTCTGCTTTCAGCAGGCAGTGACCCCAAGAACCCTTTTGCTGCTTCTAGTTCAACTGTGGCTGTGTTGGTCTTGCAGCCAAAGAGCTAACTGTGCTGTCAACGTTGGGAACTGTGCTGTCAATATTGGGAGTGGGAAGGGGAATGGGTTTTGGTAGCTGTAAACCTGATACTTTTCCATTATAGCTTTTACTCTTGAAGGCTAAAGAACATCCAGGAGGAGCACTCTGCATTGTAGCATATGGTAGCAAATAGTGACCAGAGGTGGCTGAGCTCAAAGACAGAGCACAAAGACTTTGTTTTAGATCATTTGGTGCTGGGTTGGCTGTGTTGGGGTCTCTGAGGGAACATGAAGCTGGTGTTTGGCAGGTGGAAAAAGAAGGGCTGGAATAGGAAGATACTCAACCGTGAGTTTGGTGCCTTGTGTGTGTGAATAAACAGCAGAACTATCCCTTTATCACAGGAGATTTTCTGAAGCTCATTGTGTGAGCAATGACTAACAAATATTGCAACATTGACCCATCATTGTCATCTTCTCTTTAGGTCTGTCTATGATGGAGAGGAACACGGTCGCTTTATGGAGAAGCTGGAGGCACGGATCAGGAACCACGATCGTGAGATTGAGAAGATGTGCAACTTCCATTACCAGGGCTTTGTGGACTCCATCACAGAGCTGCTGAAGGTTAGAGGAGAGGCTCAGAAACTGAAGGTAAGAGAAAGCCATCCAGATGTGGTCCTGGTGGAGCAGAGGGCTTGTTTTCAGGCAAAGAAACTCCAACCTCAGTGTGCCGACTGCCGCTTTTCATGCGTGTATTTATTCACTTCAGGCTGTCTCTGGCATTTCCAAGCAGGCTTTTGGCTTTACACACAGAGCTCTCCATCCCACAGCCAGCCACATGCTCACAGAAAAACCTTCCTGGGGGGATATCCTGACACCAGAAGCACCCGTGTTATGACAGTGGCATTTTCCATGGCAAGGATTCATCCAGCGGTCGACTGTAGGATGAGGCCATTGAAAATACCATCAAAAAGCTTTTATTTATTTATTTTTAAGCTATTGTTCCTAGCCAAGAATTCCACATTGTTTGTTTGCAGAGGCTTGTTGCTGTTTCCCATTCTCCAAACAGCTACTTTGTTGGTGGTGCACTGTGAAGTCCATCTCTGTACCCTCAGGATCTCTCTTGATTTCTATTACTATGCGATCTATAAAACAGCACATGGGGAAAACATACACAGAAACATATTTCCCAAATCCTGAGCCTTCTTTGTAAGGGTTTCCTCAGGGAATCATCCCTGGGTGCAGTGGTGAGAGTGGGTTTTGTTCCAGCTATTCATGCTCTGTTTGATCTGGGTCTTTCTCGCAGTAGCGCTGGTCTTTGAACATACGTGCAACCAGCAGTAAAATAAATGCCCTCCCTGTTGCATCTCCAGTGTGTATCTTCAGTCCTGTGCTTTTAGCTTTGGGGCATTGCCTGTAATATCAGGCTGTAGAAATATCAGTGTTCATTGTTTGGTGAGTGCACGTGGTAAATGTGAGCTGGGTGCGTTGTCTTCTGCCATTCACGGGTAACACAGCTGCCCTCTGTGCAGGAGTGATGGGTTTCAGGTGGCTCCAAGTGAACTAAAACCTTGAGAAAAGAAGGCTCAGGGAGAGCCGTGTTCCTATAGTGTCACCGTGTTCCTATAGTGAAAAGGTGGCTACAAAGACAGCGGGGACTCCCTTTTGATGAGGAGTCCCATGGGAAAGACGAGGGGTGATGGGCACAAGTTACTGCTGGGGAGATTCCAGCTGGGCACAAGAGGAAAAGGTTTCACACTGAGAGCAGGCATTGGAATAATCTCCCCAGGGAAGTGGTGACTCCCCAGTGTTGGACGCTGTTAGATTGGGCTGCACAGGGTGCTGGGACATCCAGTCTAGGCCATGCTGTGCCTGGAAAGGTTGGACCAGATGATCCCTGAGGTCATTCCAACCTGGCATTCTATGACTGATTCTGTGATTAAAATCTACTCAGAGCTGTGTTGCTAAACTTTCTGTCCTGCTTTTGTGCCCTGTGAAGGGGTAACATTGAATTGGGAACTTTATGCTCTTGATCAGCAGAGGAGCTCCTTGCAATGAATCGCTGCACTGCACAGCAGTGTGTTGTTTTCAAGGGATGCTGGGGCACTGGTTAATAACCTGTCTGTGGATGAAAAAGAAATGAATTGAAAATGTGCCAGATAGGCTCTCAAAGAGGCATCTCCTTAATTTGGATGATATTTCTTAGAATCCCAGCCTGGTTTGTGTTGGAAGGGCTCTTAAAGCTCATCCAGTCCCAACCCCTGCCACGGGCAGGGACCCCTTCCACTAGAGCAGCTTGCGCCAAGCCCCTGTGTCCAACCTGGCCTTGAACACTGCCAAGGATGGGGCAGCCACAGCTTCTCTGGGCACCCTGTTCCATTTCTTCCTTATAACTAATCTAAATCTGCCCTCTCTCAGATTAAGCTCATTCCCCCTTGTTCTCCACCTGCACACCCCTGTAGTAAGACCCTCTCCAGCTTTTTATAGGCCTCCTTAAGGTATTGAACATCTACAGTCCGATACCTCAACAACATCCTAGGAACATTTATAACCTTATTATGTCGTTTATAACCTTAATGACATCTGCACTGCAGTAAGAGCAGGAGCTGTCCTTAAATTCACAGGACGTGACTAAGGGAATCTACAGCCTAAATTCTTGTCGGGTTGTTTTAGATGTGCTCCATCACATGTATAAGGGATTTAGGAAGGAGCTGCTGTGCTCTTCATCCTCAGTATAGTATAGCCAGGGAGGCAAACATGCCACCCTTGGCAGAATCAGCACTAGATGGGTTTCGGACAGAGGGATGGAGTCAGCAGCAGGGTCATGGTGGTGTCCTTCAGCTCCATTCCCAGGATTCCTCTCCAGCTCCCTTTGCTTCTCTCTCTCATCACTCTGACACTCTCTAAATGGTAGCAGAGTGATGTTCCTGCTCCATAGCACATGTTCCATATGCAGATGAATGAACTAACGACTTGAGCATCCTTTAAGCCCCTGTGTGATCCCAGTGTCTCGTACCTCACATGTGCTCACCTGTTGTCTGTCCTCCCTTGCTGTGCGTCTGTCTTAGATTACAAACCCTCCTTGTCTGAAAAGCTTCAGCGTGTCTACAGAGAGTCTATATAAATAATCATCTATTTTATTACAATATATACATGTAGACCTTAGACCAAACCAAAACACACCTCCCTGCCCCCTGAAAACTCCTAGTGTGCAAGGGCAGAATATATCCTTACTCCTTGCTTTAAGTGGGATTGATATGTAATTTTAATAGAAGACTACTACAGCCCTGGCATTATTTTAGGAGCAGTTTTAAATTAGCCTACACAGATTCCTTTTTCCTGGTGGGATTTTCAGGATAGAAGCAAATAAAATAATCCTTGGAAGAGATGCTGGGCTCCTGCTTGTAAAAGCTCAATGCATCATAAAGGAAATGAGCAGTTTTTGCACAGGGCAATCAGCCAGGAAAGCTGAAGCTACTGCTGAAGAGGGAGCAATGTGATGCAGATGCTGTTGAGAAACTGCGAGAGGGGGAGATCATGGGATGACTCCTCTTCTTTGCAGCATGGTAAGCTTAAAAAGCAGCATGGCCAGTGTTAAAACCAAAGGAAGCCTGTGAGGCTGGATGGCTCTGCTTGTTGGAGCTACAGAAACATTTCAGTGTGAGACCTCATGTTGCAGTTCAGACCAGTGTGGGAAATCAGTGTGGCCCAGTTTCTTTCAGTAGTCAGTAGGGAGCAAGTCGGATCCTCAATCAATTTAATCCCAGACTGATTTGGATTGGAAGGGACCTTAAAGCTCATCCAGTCCCAACCCCTGCCACGGGCAGGGACGCCTTCCACTAGAGCAGCTTGCCAGGGATGGGCAGCCACAGCTTCTCTGGGCTCAAGCACACGCTGAAGCCCAGTCATTGGGAGCTTCTCCTCAGGGCTGCTCCGTCCCATCTCCTTCACCCTGTATTTGTGCTTGGGGTTGCCCCGAAGCACGTGCAGGACCTTGCATTTGGCCTTGTTGAACTTCATGAGGTTCACAGGGGCTCAGCTCTCAAACCTGTGAAGTCTTACATATAAATACCAGGCTCCCTTTCTATCTCAGCTGCTTGCTTTGTGGTGTGCTCCAAAAGGAAAGAGGGAGCTGTTTTCATCTCAGTCTGCCCTGAAGCTTGTCCTACTTTGCTCAGCTGTTGCTCTGCTCCACGTACCCTCCACACTGCGTTGGGGGTTCAAACTGAAACAGGCGAAGTTTAGATTGGATATAAGGAAAAAGTTCTTTCCCGTGAGGGTGGTGAGGCACTGGAATGGGTTGCCCAGGGAGGTTGTGAATGCTCCATCCCTGGCAGTGTTCAAGGCCAGGTTGGACAGAGCCTTGGGTGCCATGGTTTAGTGTGAGGTGTCCCTGCCCATGGCAGGGGGGTTGGAACTGGATGATCTTAAGGTCCTTTCCAACCCAAACCATTCTGTGATTCTATGGTCTTACAGAGACAAGCCTGGAAATGACTATATACAACTTGAATAGCTGTGACAATAAGTATTCTATGGAAAGAAAGGAGTTTCATGGTATGTTAGCCTTGGACTGAGGGAGGCACCTGAACTCTGCTGGTGTTTACCTTCACAACTGGCTGCTCTTGTTGAGGTCCTTAATGTGGGCATGTTTACTTGGAAGCTTGTGTAATCTGTGGCTGTCCCAGCTGGGCTGTAGAAGATGCTGTCTGTTCACAAACCTCCTGTCTGAACATGAATGAGGATTCAGCAGAAAACCCAAAGTCATCTTTCTGTTTGTTGTCTAAATGACGTGTAAGGTGCTTATTTTGTATCCTGAGGAGGCTAAAATGACCTTTGCTCTCGTGTGAGTCTTCATTGAGTCAGACTGATGTCTGGAGCCACAAAGGGGTCAACTGCTGCGATCTTGCTAGTCCAGGGAACCTCCAGGTTTGCAGACTGGGAAGTTATTGAACTGTGAGCCCCAGCTTGATGGGATAATACAGGAAGATGCTTTAGTAAAGAATTCACAGCCATTTTTTTATATTGGCTGTATAAAAATAACCTTTTTGTACCAGCCAGGAGGAGGGATCCAGTGGGAAATGCATCTGAAGATCTAAAGGAAAATACATGAACTTTATAGATGAAGCCCACATTGAAGAATTCTTTTCTTGCTGTGGTAACAGGGAGTTAAAACCCAGTTGTCATGTATTTGGTGTTGAGGAGGGGGAAATATAACTCCTTTACCACTCAGGTAAAACAGCTTTTAAAGTGAAGCCCCATCCCTGGCAGTGTTTAAGGCCAGGTTGGACCCAGGGGCTTGGAGCAAGCTGCTCTAGTGGAAGGGGTCCCTGCCTGTGCAAGGGGGTGGAACTGGAGGAGCTTTAAGGTCCCTTCCAAACCAGTCTGGGTTTCTATGAGAACCCACATGAACATCTGCTACAGGATTGGATCCATTAAGACTACAACATTTTGAGGCTCATGTGCAACACCATGAACCTCTGTTGCCTTTTAACTTTCTCTAGTGGCAGGGAAGAAAATCCATGGTATTTGCTGTGTGGCTGCTGGCACCCTTGTGTGCCAGAATGGCCATGACTGTTAAATTGGCTAAAGAATACTTTTATGCCATACAAAGGAAGACTGTGTGAAAAGTGATGCTGTTTATGTACAGTTTATTTGTGAAGAACATGGTCCTGATTTTCATGCAGATGTGCTCTGTCTTTTTCCCCTGATATTCCCACAGAATCAAGTGACAGACACCAACAGGAAGCTGCAGAACGAAGGAAAAGAAGTAAGTTCAGTCATTCATTCTGTCTGGTTTTTGCTTTTCCGTTATCCGGCTGTGCTTGTTAGTGGGAAATGACAGTGTCCGTAAGTGCTCAGCACTAACTGATAACGTAGGTGGCACTGGTATTAAAGCATGCATTGATTCTCTTTACTGTATTTTGCTTTGCTGCCTGAAAGATGAGTTGTGTCAGAGTGCTGGGAAGTGATTTTTCCCTTTTACTGCTTCTGGATTGCAAGCTTAGTGGAAGGCACAGCCTGGGAAGCAGGGGGAATGTAAAGCAACAGTAATCCTATATTGTGGGCTTGATCCTGCAGCCCTGGGGGGTGTCATTGGGATTGCTCATAGCAGTACTGCGTCCAAGGAAGTGTGGCCAGCAGGTCGAGGGGATTCTTCCACACCCGCAGTCCTGCATCCAGCTTTGGGGCAACACCACCGGAGGGATGTGGAGCTGTTGGGGCGAGACAAGAGGAGGCCATGGAGATGCTGCGAGGGCTGGAGCAGCTCTGCTCTGGAGCCAGGCTGAGAGAGCTGGGCTGGGGCAGCCTGGACAAGAGAAGGCTCCTGAAGGGGAGACCTGAGAGCAGCTCCAGTGCCTGAAGGGGCTGCAGGAAAGCTGGAGAGGGGCTTGGGACAAGGGATGTAGGGACAGGCCAAGGGGAATGGCTTGAACCTGCCAGAGGGGAGACTGAGATAAGATCTTCAGAAGCAGGTCCCTTCCTACCCAAACCACTCTGTTTCTGTGCATATGAGCTGGAGAGCCTGGCTCCTGCTTCCCAAAGCAGTACAGCAGCAATTAAAGTCAGGGTGGCTTTTAACTGCATGAACAGAGGCATCGAGGCATGGGGAAAGGAAATGATTGAGCATCTTGTGGATGCCCTGTGCCTTTGTCTACATTCATTCTTCTGCCCCTTCATCATAAGAGAGCATGAACGGACTGGGGGCACTTTAGAGCTGAGTGTGCTTAAGGCAGTGATGCTTCAGGTTTTCCAAGTGCTTAAGACAAAGATGTGTGAGGACTCCCAGGGATGGCCCTTCTCCTGTCTTTTGCATTCCTCCTGAGAATTGCATCATTTACTATACAAAGTTCTTCTTCCTGCAGCTTTTCTGTTTCATTTCCTCGCTGCTTTCCCAGACACCCTGACTTGGTTTTGCTCCTGGCACATGCAGGCAGCTGCCTTGATTTGAAAAGCAAACAAGAAAATCCCCATCCTGGACTGCATCAGAGCAATTATTCTAATGAAGATTAAAGACAAGAATGCCCTTTGGGGAGGAGGTGATGCAGTTTCAATCCTGAATCAAATAAACTTACCTCCTTGAATGGAGGATTCACCTCCAAGAGTACAAGAGCCTGGGATTTCAGAAGGACTTTCAATCTCAGCCTGGTACTTGAGAGATAAAAGGATGCTCTGGAGGACAAATCCATGACTTGTCCCTTTGAAAAGAAGAAAGTAGAGTGTTTTTTGTTGTATGCAGTGGCTGCTCCGTGTTTATCCTTGCCCACATGCACAGGTTTTTCTGTTGGAGGCTGAGCATTTAAAAAATCCTTGTTAGTTTGGGATGGTCAGAAGCCCCTTGGGAGCGTGTCGCCACATCCTGTCTTTGGGAAGAACTAGAAAAGAGAAGCGTGGAGAGGGAGTAGGGAAGAGATGAATAAAATGGGAAGGGGAAATCATTTTTTGGAATCCAGAGGACGTACTACGAGGCTGGTATTTTGTTGCCTTTGGTTTTGCTTCTTGCTTGCTTGAAATGAAGGGAATGCTGCTGGTACTTGTTGAGCCAACCCAAAGCTGCCTCGGCTCCTATTCCAGTAGCGCTCTGCAGCCTCGCTGAGCGCCCGGTTATCACAGTGGGGTTTTTTATCAACCTATGGCGTATGGCTGGGACAAGTGCAGTTTATATCCTCTCTCCTCCATCTATTCACTGCTCTAAGTGAAACTTGTCTCTTTTTCCCTTCCCCAAGTTGATCGTAGCAATGGAAGAGCTGAAGCAATGCCGGTTACAGCAGCGGAATATTTCAGCGACGGTTGATAAGCTCACGCTGTGTCTTCCCGGTGAGGAATCTCAAGTTGCTCTTCATTTTCGTCAGTAATTCACATCCCTGTGCTTGTGTCTCAACGCGTGTGTGTTTTTTCCTTCTCGTTCCAGTCCTGGAGATGTACAGCAAACTGCGAGAGCAAATGAAATCTAAAAGGTAAATGCTGTGTGGAGTGGTGTCTGTGGTGGAAGAGTTGGAAAGCACCCGCTGGGTGCTGGATAGATGGAAAATATCCTGTGTATTTATAGGATACAGATACCTCTAAAGAGTCTTATATTCTTGAAATATAGGACTTCAAAATCAGCTTTTTCAGATTAGTTTGTTTGATTTCTGGGTGGAATCTTCACGCTCCTGCTCAGCCTCCTGTGTTACAGCCTAGAACTGGCATTGCAGCAGGGCTCTCATCTTGATTGTAAGCTTTTCAATGAAGGTGGCTATTCACTTTTTCATGGAAGCTGGATGTTGTGATGCATTCCATCAGTGTTTGACGTGGCATTTAGGTGTAATTAACTGGGTTTCAGTCTGTGAATGTCATAACCCAAAACCTGATATGATCCGAGTGAACGGAAGGCAGCCACCTGGGAAATGTGGCTCAGGGTGGGAGAAGTTGGTGGGAAGGTCTGTGGTGTATTTGGTGGCAGAAATAACTGCTCAGGAGAGTGCGTGAGCTACGTGGACTTCATGTCTCAGGAAATGTAGGTCTTTGACAGGCTGAGAGAGCTGGGCTGGTTCAGCCTGGAGAGGAGAAGGTTTATTAAGGGGAGACCTTAGGGCAGCTCCAGTGCCTAAAGGGGCTGCAGGAAAGCTGGAGAGGGGCTTGGGACAAGGGATGTAGGGACAGGCCAAGGGGAATGGCTTTAACGTGCCCGAGGGGAAACTGAGATGAGCTCTTAGGCAGAAGCTCTTCCCTGGGAGGGTGCAGAGGCGCTGGCACAGGGTGCCCAGAGAAGCTGTGGCTGCCCCATCCCTGGCAGTGTTCAAGGCCAGGTTGGACACAGGGGCTTGGAGCAAGCTGCTCTAGTGAAAGGGGTCCCTGCCCATGGCAAGGGTTGGAGCTGGAGGAATTTTAAGTTTCCTTTTGTCACATAGCACTCTGTGACTCTATGATTCCCACCCTGCATCTGTTGTGATGCTGAAGGATTCAACCATGGGTTGGGATATTTGCATGGCTGGGATGCCGGGGGGTGGTTTATTTAAGCACTGTGGGACTTTGGAGGCTCATTGTAGCCTTGGGGGGGGCAAATAGCAGCTGCTGTCAGGAGCTGGGCTGGAAACCCAGCAGGCTCCAGGGGAATGGCACGCGGGGAGAGCGGTGGGATGCGATGGCTGATGGTTTCTGCCATCCATCATGGGAACAAGACAGAAGAAACCAGATGTTTCCAACAAGGCGATAACTAATTGGATGGGCGTATTTGTACACTTCCCCCTCCTGCTCTGCTCATCCCTGTGCTCCTTGGACCCAGCAGCCTTGGGTCCAGATGAGCGTTAACTCCTGAAGGCTGGGCTGGCTGGAGGAGTCGCAGGGAGCTTGTTCAGCTCACTCGGGATGGCTCAGCGCAGACTAGGGCAGCGTGTGGTTCATCCAAGTGTTTTTCCTCTGTTAAGAGGAACAGCGAGGGGCTTATCTGTTGACAGATGTGGGGTGGGGAGCTGGAGCTGATCACAGTGCTGTGAACTTCTGAAGGCAATCCTCATGCTGCTCCGTTCCCTCGCTCTGGAAAGTGTTTCCAGGGCCTGCTTCTAAGAATTGCATCATTTTTTTGCCTTCCCCTCTCTTTGGATTGGTTCATTTTTGAAACAAATAGAAGCTGAAAGCCACATTTAAGGAAAATCTGAATCCCTGCCTTCTTTTCTTCTTTCTTTGTCTGTATTTGATGGCTTCATTCACCAAACACAGCACAATATCATTAAGTACTTTTGTAGGTGCACCCGGTATCACTTACATATCAGCTCATGATGGCCAGCAAGGGGCTGGTTACGAGCCCGAGTCTTGGGGTTTGGGTACACAGTCTCAGAGGAGTAACAGGGTCTGGATTTGGGGTGAAGACACTCAGCTTCCCGAGGCAGACAAAATGAGTTATGTGCTGTTTGCTGCAGGGTGTTTATAAAGCCAGTGCAGGCCTTTGCCCAGTGCAGAATCCGTGGCCATGAGCTGGAGGTGGAGCTGGGGAAGGAAGCCCCGTCTGAACCCAGAGGAGTAACTCTGCAACCAGCAGAGAGAAGAGATGGAGAGAGATGCTTTGTCTCTCATTGTCCAGACTTTAAGGAAGGAGCAGAAAGAGCTTTTCTCCAACAGCTGAAGCTTGTTGGCAGGTGATGAGGAAAAACCCTCTTGGTTCTGCAGGACTCTGGTGGGATCAGACTTTTTTACCCCAGCTCACTTCTATCCATACAGTCTCCAAGCAGTAAGGAAGGAGAATGCTTCATCCTGTGTGTAACAGGGTGTAGCTCGAGTAGAGCTCTGCCACCCAAGCAGAGCCTAGGTATTTCCACGGGGAAAAAACCCAAGAGCCATCCTGTTTCATGGGTGCAGCGTCCTTGGGGCACAGAGCTGGCACAAACGTGGCTCTTCTGGGTGGCTGGTAATAGGCATCACGGCATCAGGGCATGGTTTGGGTGGGAATGGACCTTAAAGCTCCTCCAGCTCCAACCCCTGCCACGGGCAGGGACCCCTTCCACTAGAGCAGCTTGCTCCAAGCCCCTGTGTCCAACCTGGCCTTGAACACTGCCAGGGATGGGGCAGCCACAGCTTCTCTGGGCACCCTGTGCCAGAGCCTCAGCACCCTCCCAGGGAAGAGCTTCTGCCTAAGAGCTCATCTCAGTCTCCCCTTTGGCAGAGCTCATGGTTCTCCTGGCGGGACCTGTGTGGGGCCTTCCTGGGGTCCCCCTCTGAGCCATTGTTCCTCTGTGCTCCTCCATGTGCTCGTCCATGAGGTTTTTCCTCACATAACCTGACCATACTGCATGTGGTTGGCAGCTTTTCCTTCACTCTGTAACGTGGAGCCCCAGCTGGCTTTGCTGTGGGTGAAAGCTGCTGCTGGGCTCAGGTGATGCTGGTTGCTTGTTACCCAGCTGGTCCTCATTTGCCCGTCAGAGCTCTGGTAAGGAGCTGCTGTGCATTTGTGTTCTTCTGTCTCTCTGTTTCCAGAAGAAGATGGTGTTTTTGTGGTTAGCCCCCTTGATCTTAAGGGCTGTGTTCTTTGAGGAGAGCTGAGATTCTTGGATATAGCAAATGACTGGAAGCTAATGTTGTTTTGGAGGGGAAACGGGATGGAAATAGCTGTTCTTCCTTCCACATCTGCCTTGCTTGCTCTCCCCAGGCACTACCCTGCGCTCAAGACCCTGGAGCACCTCGAGCACACCTACCTGCCCCAAGTGAGCCACTACCGCTTCTGCAAGATCATGGTGGATAATATCCCAAAGCTGCGGGAAGAGATCAAGGAAGTTTCCATGTCAGACCTCAAGGATTTCCTGGAGAGTATCCGTAAGCACTCGGACAAGATAGGAGAGACGGCCATGAAACAGGTAGGACTTGTGCGTGCACACGTGATGGAGGCGTTTTGGGGAGGGGAGATCATAGTAAACTCAGTTCTTCTTTTCCAGTCCCAAGGCACTAAACTTAGTTTTAAATATTGAAGTGATTTTGTTATAGGTGAAGCCACCATTCTTCATTCCGTGGTTGCTACTAGAGGTTTTATCTCCTGATCTATATACTGTTGAAAAACGATGGACCATTTCTGTTGCCTTCTCCCACCTGTATTTTGCTGCTGAATCCCGGTGCTCCAGAGCCTGGGATGCACAATCAGGCTGTGCAGCTCATCGGGACAGGGGCAGTTGTGCTGCTGTGTCTGGAGCACCTGGAGACACCAGTGTTGGTTTCCCAGGTGCAGGGTAAAGCAACAGGAGTTCACACACTGATATCAACTTGATTGCTTTTGCATCTTCAACTGGTTTTCAAGTACTGGGTGAACTTCCCTTATGGCTTGCTTGCATTTTGCCTAGCAGTTGGGGTCTGTAAAAGGTGACCCTGATGGAACTGAGCATTCCCGTGCATGTATTAAACCAGAATTGCCTTTTCCCACTCTTTAATATTCTAGATTTGAATTTCAATGGAGTTTTTCTTGTCACAGCCAGTAGATTGCTCACAGAGGCTCTTAAGCAGAACGTTGCTACTTTGAAATTCAGATCCACTGGTAGTGAAATGTTACCTCTCATGAGCAGTAAACTGCCTGCTCTGATAGTGATGCATGGATTGGACTTGTTGAGTTATGGGAAGGACTCTTGATGTGATTTCTCACAAGGTGATGAGCTTGTGCTGTTGGGTTTATGGTTCGAGGTAGAGGCAAGTTCAGTTTTAAACACTATCCTTCCTGTAAGATGGTGTGGCTTGAGGATTGCTATTAATTGATTTAATTTCCAGTATATCCCATGCTTTACTGTCTTTTCTCAGCTTCTCTGTAGTGTTTTAAGACAAACCAAGCTCTTGCAGTGTGCAATAGAGCTGTGGGGAGATGCCACTCTGCATCTGGGAGTTCAGTACAGTGTTTTGTTCATTGTTGTGTTGGATCAAACAAGTGTTTCTGAATCTGCAATAACCACGTTGTGACCTGTGCATCCCATTGTAGAGCCAGACATCCATGGTGGCAGTGTCTGTGATGGCTGCAGGCATGTTGTGCTGAGTTTCCCCAATACAATAGCTTCTACAACAGCACCTGTTCACAAAACCCACTCCATTTTGTTCATTATTGGCAGCCCAACCTTCTCAAGAGTCTTCCTTGGTTCTTGTGGCTGGAAGGGAGCAGGAGTTTCCTTTGCCTTTTGTTGCCCAGTACATTACTAAATAAATAACTTCTTTATACCCACTTAAGGATATTTACCAGTTAGATATAAGAGGATGTAGATGTGGTGTCCTCCTCTTACAGTTTCCAGTCTTGTCATCATGCTGCTGGGATGAAACCTCCCAGCATCTTGGCTGGGATTAGACATTAGGCGGAAACTCTTCCTTGTGAGGGTGCTGAGGTGCTGGCACAGGGTGCCCAGAGAAGCTGTGGCTGCCCCATCCCTGGCAGTGCTCAAGGCCAGGTTGGACACAGGGGCTTGGAGCAAGCTGCTCCAGTGGAAGGGGTCCCTGCCCGTGGCAGGGGTTGGGACTGGAGGAGCTTTAAGGTCCCTTCCAACCCGTTCTACAATTCTATGATCCTGTGAATTTTCTGCTGCAAGGTGCAGGGTCTAGAAGGGGTTTCCTTCCCCCTTTGTGGGGACAGAGTTATCTCCGCCGGTGGACTCGATAACTTTCCATCAATGTGGATGTACTGTTCCCGTACAACCTAGGGAGGAAGGTCACCTTGCCACTTCCAGTTGCAAAAGCCGCTTTGGAAGCGCTGCTGGAATCTGAGCAGCGTTGTAGGTTTATTCCTGCCCAAAGCATCTCGAGCTGCTGTACACTGAGGAGCTGAAGCTTTCGGAGCCTCCCGTTGCGTGGGGTCACTCCACGTCGCTGTGCAGACAGTCTTGCATGGCTGGGTCTTTTTCTCCTCAGTGTGTTGGCCGTGATTGATAGTTGCTCTGGAACAGAGCGGAGCTGGCAGGAGGCCTGGGAGAGTCAGGGAACTGTGATTGGCAGCTGAATACATTCGGTTTAAATTAGCATCATATAAATTCTTCTCAAATTGTTTGATTTCACCAGCAGGAATGGCAGAGGGGCTGATACAATGGGGAAAGGAAATCATGTTTTTGTAACGTTGCAAATCTGAGGCCGATGATGACAAGAGCTGAAAATTTCATTTTGTGATAATCAGAAGGATCTGTCTCAGAGCTGTGCTTGTGTTCCTGGCCAGCAGTCAAGGATGCAGGGGGCTAGCCGGCCCCTCTCTGGGACAGGAAGGCTGCGGTGGGATGAAGTCAAGTGAGATGGTCCCAGGGTCAGCCGGACCTGAGGCATCTCACAGCACACAGAGAGACCTTACAGCGTCCTAGCAGGAATGATGAGCTCCCATTGACTCCTTTCTGACTTTTATTACCTATGGTTCTGGGGGAAAATCCTGCGTTCCAAATATCGGTCTGAATTGCGCAGATAAAAGTAGCTCTGTGCGTTTGAACTCCTTTTGGACTTTGGCCCTGTGAACCTGCGTGTGTGTTTTGGTTCTGGTGGTGTTTCTTTTTAAAGAGCTCGATCCTGGCCTTGCCAGGAATGAATTACATCTTATTAACACTCGCTGATATCCGGTATGTGGTTTTATTATCTAGCTTAATGGCTGAAATATGTGCGGCATGTGGAGGAGGTCACTTAGGATGGTGCCTCAGAAGCATCCAGGGTAAGCTCAGTTAATGCTGCTCCACAGGGGTCCAAGAATAACCCTTCCAAAAGCCATTATCGGATCAAGTTTGTCAGGATGGCCAAAATACTCAGCGTGCCTTTAGCAGAGATGGAGGCAGACCAGCTTTTGGGGCTATTTTAGCATCACTTGGATGCGCTGTCAAAGCTGATGTTTAATCCGTGGTGATCCAGGACTAGTTTGAATGGGTTGATGTTTCAGCTCTGCCTTTTTTACGCGGGGGTGTTTGCTCTTCTCACTGACACATGTTGGTGTCTGTGCCATTTCTGAGTATAATGAAAGGTTTGTATAAAGAATAGTTTCCCACAGCAGCAGGAAATCAGCTTGGTTACATGAGTACACTGAAAGAACAAGGCAAAATGTTGCACGATGATGTGCACAATAGAATCATAGAATGGTCTGGGGTGGAAGGGACCTTCAAAGGACATCTAGTTCTGACTCCCCTGCAGTGAGCAGGGAAATGCCCCTCTGAGTTTGGTAGGAGTGCAGTTCTGCCCATCAGCTGGAGAAGATGAAGCACTTCAGGGCATGGGTTAGCAGCAGCTCCGTAGACCTTTCAAATTGAGATCTAGGGTTTGAAAGGTTTCTCTTGCTTCAGTTCTGTCCCTGCAGGTCAGAGCTGAGTGAGAACTACTCATGTGTGGAGTGTCACATCCCACATGTGGCCTCTCCTTGTTCAGCGTGGCCTCTCATGCCTGCAAATAGCTTGGGCAGGGATGCCAAAATAGCATGTGGGTATGTGCAGCTACCACTCTATTCTCCAGCATAGAAGTTTTTGGTAGCACAGGATCAGGCCTTGGAAAGAAAAGATCTTGTGGATGAGAAGTAGAGGAGGAGATTTGTTGTATTCCTCCCCAAATTACTTGGTCTGGAGATGGTGGCTGCTAACAGACATTCCCTGGGACCATGGGGATGCACGTGGCATGGATACAGGCCATGCTAAGGCTGTTGAGCACCCAGCTGTGTGCCTCAATATTTTAGGTATGTCTGTATTTAAAGGTAATTCTGACCTGGAGTTCTCTGGATTCATGATGATTGGTTGGAGGATGCAAGTGTCTTTGTGTAGTTTTCTCCGTGCTACTGGTTTGGTCTTAAACCTGTAACCAAATCTCTACGTGCATTTTTACTGGGATTACAGAGAAGTAGCTACACGTTGATGAATCCTGAGTGTCCATTAGTTGGTTTTAAAGTCGTGTTGAATACACTGGTGTTGTAATAAAAAACGTCATTGTGTAGGGTGGTTTTTTTTAGGCTAAATTGGAATGCCCCATCCCTGGCAGTGCTCAAGGCCAGGCTGGATGGGGCTTGGAGCAAGCTGCTCTAGTGGAAGGTGTCCCTGCCCGTGGCAGGGGTTGGAGCTGGATGAGCTTTAAGGTCCCTTCCAACACCAACCAGGCTGGGATTCTATGATTCCATCTTTATAAAAGCTGGCCCACATGCAAGCTGCCCTGTCTGCTTCTCTGCACAGTGGCCGTGTTAACAACTGGGTGCTCTCACCTTGCCAGCACATGGAGCCTATCTCCTTTGCTCGCTTCAGTCCACAGCTTCAAACCCTTCCCTTGGTTTTTGGATCCTTGGATGGCGTTTGCAAGTGTTCTGCCCAGCAGTGCTGGCTTTGTGCCTCTGCCTGTGGTGTTCACCCTGTTGATCTCTTTCAGGATGTCTCTAAAAAGATGATGGTAGTGATGGGATTATGTGGGCGATGGATAGAGCAGTTGTGATTCCTGGCCTGGGAGGCCAGCGGGTGGTTATGCCCCAGCTTCAGGCTGATGATACGTGCTCCAGAAGCACATGAGGAATGTGGAATGTGTTAGGGAGTTAGCAGATTTAAGGTGGGCAAAGGGGAGGGAATGAAGGAATGAGGGGTGCGGAAAGCAATGGAGAGCTTGACCTGCAGCTGTTGTGCATCATGACGAGCACACCTTGGCCATGCAGTATGGTTTTAGTGGTGATGCCCATCCGAAAGCAGAGGGTGAGGCTGGTTCCTGTGCCCTGCATTGGGGAAGGACCAGATCCCTGAGGCTGAGCCTGCTGTGGCACCCGCTCCTCACACCCTCCTGTTGCAGGTGGCTCCGACTGAGCTGTGAGAACATGCGGACGTTGTGCCAGGCAGCTGATTGGGAACGATGGGGATAAGTAGAGAAGTGGCATGTGGTGATTGCAGCCCTATTGGGAAACCCTGTCCCCTCC